ATTGAATCACGTGTCCCTTGAGCAAGGGTGATCTACTGGAGCTCGGGACAATCGTTCGAAACTGGAGTTATTCTGCCTTGAGAGCCGTTGTTCCCAAGTTACCTTCAGTTCATCCTGTATGAGAAAGAAAGCTTCATAAGCATAGGTGTAACTAGCTCAAAACTTAAAATAGCATTCTTCATAGCGCTTTTTTTTCAGAAAGGCGAAACAACGGCGAATTAAAAAGTGAGAAGGGTTGACTGAAGTGAGTGGTTGAATTTCATAGATTTTGTACTATTCAGGATTTTTCAGAGCCCAGCACAGATTTGATGCAAGGAATCGGGAATCTAAATGAGTTTTTCGTAATTTCAGGAGGTCCAGCACTCCAGCACTTTCCTCAGGTATTTTTCGCGTCATAGATCTCAGAACGGTCAGTATTTTATTTTGCATCTAGCAGTCCTCTATGGATGGTAATGGCAAGTCGTAAAAATTTGATTATGAACATGAATCGCTGTATGTTTTACCCAATAAGATGGAAGATGTGGTGTAGTGGCAAAGACGCCGCTTGTCACGCCCATGCCGATATCTGGGAGTATAACCGCATGTCGAATACTCCCGAAATAAGCAAGTCTTCCTTTCTGGTTGAGAGCAGGGTCAGCCGTCGCGTTCGCACTTTTTCGCAAATTTTGAGAACCCCTCCTCCCTTAGAGGGTCGCTGATGCGACCAACCACCATCACTATCAGTCTTAGCAGTCCTAGGAGGCTCTCCAAATACGACACCCGTCCTACTTACCTCGATCACCACTCCCCCCATCATGGCTGTTTCTATAATATTTGATTCTGAGATCAGTCAACAAACCAACTCTGTCCACCGCCCGGGTAAATAGGATATGGTGTAAGTTGGTACCAAGGAACGCCAAACCCACTTATTTTGCTCAAAATCACAAATGTGACCCCCTTGTTCGAATAGTGCAAAGGGTCCATCGACCCTGGTTGAGAGATTAGTACTAGACTTGTCTGGAAGGACTTGTCTGATTTCTACGTTAAGTTGGTCTCTGTAGGACAGTGTCTGAGCCAGAGTGCGTGTTTGTAGCTGGACATAACTCGAATGCGTGGCGCATCCTAAAGAAGAATCAACCTTTATCTTTTTAAATGTGTATTTTAGCGGTCCATGTCCACATCAAGTCGTTTTCTCCACCTTTTATGCATCCCTTGAATGGTCGCCTTATTTTGCAACCTTTTTTGTCAACATTC